ACACACGCTCGCACAGACACACGCTCGCACAGACACACGCTCGCACAGACACACGCTCGCACACAAGACACACAGACACATGCACGGGTACACAACTCCAGCCTCTGAATGCGCGGTCATTAGCCTCTCTCTCTCTCCTCTCCCCTCCCCTCTCTTGCTCGCTAGCCCAGAGAGGCCCAGGCTCGACCCAGGCGGGCTCAGCCTACCTTCTGCTTCTGCATGTTCTGCTCCAAGCGATGCCAGTGTCTCTTGGACTCCTGAACGATCTCCTCGTGAGTGATACCTGAACACACAAACGCACAGGCCTTAGCTCACAGCCCCCAGGGCCGTGTCGAGTCGGGTCGCTTGGTCTCAAGCAGGTTCACGCAGCTCGATGACGAGAAACACAGATTCTTGGGGCACCAGGAGGCGTTATTCAGGACCAATCCTTCTGCCTTCACGCCGGTAGGCCGTTATCAAATCTCTGGACGAGACCCTCCAGTCAGAACAGGGGGCGCTCTTTACACAAAGGGTGGCAGGAGTGTGGAACAGGCGCCTTTTCCCTTTTCTGGTCCTGGCCGGTCTAACTAACACCCGGTACAGATTCCTGGCATCTCCAGGTCCCGGCAGGACCGGGCGGGGGGGAGAGGGGGGGTGTCACGGTCCCCGAGGCCGGAGGCCGGAGCTGGGCTCGTACCCGTGTCCTGCTGCAGCACCCAGCACTTGAGCTCGATGACGGAGTGGGCGAAGGAGCAGCTGTCCTCGCGCTGGCAGCCGTAGCGCACCTCGTGGCGGCAAACGTCGAACTGGCACAGCGGGTGCAGCGGGCGGATCTTGCTGTAGCGCACGTTGGCGGAGCGCACCACGTGGACCAGGCACCTGCGGGGGGGGGGAGACGAGAGGCCATTACCGATTACGGCCCGGGCAGCTTACCCTCCCCTTCTGCCCGCCAGGAAGTACGCACACACCCCGCGTGGCCAGGGAAACAGGGCTTCTTTACACAGAGGGGGGTGGGAGTGGGGAACGGGCAGCCTGGCCGTGTTGCTGAAGCCGATACCCCGGTTTCTCGGGGGGAACCTCTGGAAGGGACCCACCAATCCGGACAGGAAGTACAACTTTACACAAAGCGTGGCGGGAGTGCGGGACAAGCTGTTCAAGCCACGACGTTAGAGCTGATACCCCGGTTTCTTTGAGGAAACCTCTGGGTGGGATCCTCCAATCCGGACAGGAAGTACAACTTTACACAGGGAGAGGCGGGAGCGTGGAACAAGCTTCCCTGCCTTGCTGTTGGAGCCCACACCCTGCTTTTTTCCCCCAGGAGACAGCCGGATGGGATGCACGGGCCAGCCGGGCGGCGTGCCCTCTCGCCTGTAACCCGGCGTCTGCTCCTGTGTGCCCGGCCCACAGCGAGACGCGCCCCTGACGCCGCTGCGCCCCAGGGGGGGACAGGGGGCAGGCGCCACTCACTTGTTTCCGTCGAAGGGGTGCCGGGCGGTGAGGTTGGAGCAGACCGACAGGTTCTCCTTGCAGCGCTTGCTGATGATCCTGGGCTTGCTGTCGTAACACTCCTGCGGGGCGACATCACCACGGAAACAGTCAGTGACGGCGCCTTCCCGCGACGCATACAGCGCCTTTCCCCCCCACCCCTCCCCCCGGAGCTCCCGAAGGGCCGGGTTTGTCGTTTCACCGCGGGCTGTGAAACACATCTGCCCCAAGGGCTGATCGAGCCTGAACGGGAACCGAGCTGGTCTCCCCACGTCCTCCCTGGGTTTCCTGCCTGGCGTCTCCCACACACCGGCGGGTTTACTGGCTTCTGAGAAGACTGGTCCTGGTGCGAGTGTGTGTGTGTGTGTGTGCGCGCCCCGTGATGGACTGGCGTCCGGCCCAGGGTGTACCCTGCCTTGGACCCACTGGGGTCCCCCTGCTCCCCCTGCTGGTGTGGGGTTCCTCCCCCCAGTCCAAAGACACGCTGGCAGGTTAACTGGCTTTGAGTGTGTGTGTGCGCGCCCTGTGGTAGACTGGCGTCCCGCCCAGGGTGTACCCCGCCGTGCGCCTGTTCCCTGCTGGGGAGGAAGCGGTGAGTGAGAGCGGGGCGCGGTACCTCACAGAGGAACATGAACATGCCCATGTGCAGCTGCAGCAGGCGGGTGACGCTCAGCGCCCGCCTCTCGCTGCTGCCCAGCGGGTCGAACAGCAGCTCGCGGCTCAGCGCGCCCTTCCTCTCCTGCGTCCACACGTCGATCTCCTCCTGGCAGTAGGCGAACGTGCAGTTCTCCCCGTACTTGCACTCCTGGCGCTCCTGCACCTCTGCGCAGAGCGGGAGAGCGACAGCAGGTCAGACACACTCACACACGTGTGCACACGCTCCCTGGGGTCAGACACACTCACACACGTGTACACACGCTCCCTGGGGTCAGACACACTCACACACGCGTGCACACACGCCGGGGTCGGACACACGCCCATGCACACGCTCGCCGGGGGCGGACACACTCACACACGTGTGCACACGCTCGCCGGGGTCAGACACACGCCCGTGCACACACGCCGGGGTCGGACACACGCCCGTGCACACGCTCGCCGGGGTCGGACACACGCCCGTGCACACGCTCGCCGGGGGCGGACACACGCCCGTGCACACGCTCGCCGGGGGCGGACACACGCCCGTGCACACGCTCGCTGGGGGCGGACACACGCCCGTGCACACGCTCGCTGGGGGCGGACACACTCACACACGTGTGCACACGCTCGCCGGGGTCAGACACACGCCCGTGCACACGCTCCCCGGGGGCGGACACACGCCCGTGCAC